AGCACACCAGCAAGAGGGCTGACTCTGCAGCTGAGCTGCCGGAGAGAATAAAAAGTAATAAGTACCAGGATCTCGGCTCCGACACCTATTTACAGCCTTTGGCCTGTGGGGTCCCAGTGCTCTTCATCTGTACAAAACTTCAACTTGAAATTAATAGGTTGTCTGGGAAGTCCAAGGGTTAGCTACCTTGCCCAATGCATTAGTATAGCCATACAAAGGGGGAACGCTGCGAGCATCTTGGGTACTTTGCCGCGTGGATCCAATTTTATTAATATAATTTAAAAATCCTAGTTCTACTTTCTAGTATTTAAGTTTTATTGTATCTTACTTGTATATTATCAATACATCAAACTTAGAACATTAAAAATTAACTAAAGCGTATGTTAGGCGGTATTTGGACGTACATCCTGAGAAACCAAGGAATTATTACCTAATTACCTTACCTTACCTATTTCTGCCGCCAAGCAGTAATGTGAGCATTACTGCGTTCTGGTTTTGAAGGATAGGTAAGGGTGCTGGTAAAATTACAGGCACATTAGACTTATCAACTTGTCTCAGTGTGACGGGCGTTGTGGCAGTGTCCCTCAGATGTTAGCGTTTTAAAGCTCTGTGGTACTGCAACTGTTGTGGACAGGCATGTCGCATACCATCAGGCGCAAGACCTGTTCGTCCCGTCACTTGGTGTCATATAAAAAAAACAAGGAATGTTTGAGATGGGGTACAAAAACTTTAACCTGGTTTAAGAACATTTAGTAGAACTCCTCACGACTATGTGTTCCTTCATCTTTGCTTTTAACTTTTTTAAAAATATTTTATGTTAACTAGCAGAAGTAATTGCCGATAATCCTTTGCACGTGTGTCGTAGCCGCTGCTGTCGCAGGTACGACGCTGTGAGACCAATTTAGAGATTCGATTTCCCTGCTCAACTACACGGAATTAGAACACCAAATGTGTTTATAGGGTTGGGCGGAATAAACATGTTTGTAGAACGCACTTAAATTGACTCATGTTCAATCGATTTTCATTTTAGGCGCATACTGTAGTATTGTACGAGTTTCCTTTACAAAAAGGCTTTACATCCAAACTAATGATTACAAATGCGAAAGTAACTGTCAGTTACGTACTCACGCCTAAGCCGCCGAACCAATTTTGATAAATTTTGGTACACACACAGATGGGACTTAGAAGGACATGGACTACTCTTTTGCCACGAAAATAAATCTTAAAGGGAGTGAGGATAAAAGTTTGTATTAAAAACCAATCAAATTATGAAAATTCCATTACAGTAGGCTACTATACTTCGAGTAGTCTATTGTACTGTGTTATTCTACGCAGACAACGCCGCGGGTACCAGCTACTTTCATATAATTGGTGGTTTCATAAAAACGGCATGTATTTAAATGATAGCAGGCAAATAAATCTAAACGGTTATCTTTTTTAACGATTGCCCCTTTTCTCGGAGGCATAAAATAAATTTAATCAACGGATTACAAAAAAATGGATTAATCTGTCCTGAGCTTTTTTTTATAATATCAAGTCACGGGATGAACGAGTCGTGTGCCTGGTGGTGAGCTACGCGCCTGTCCTTAACAGTTGCAGTGCCACGCAGAGCTTTAAATTGCAAAGATTTGAGGGGCGCTGCCACTGTGCCCACCACCCTGAGACATAAGTTGACAACTCCCGTGTAATTTCACCAGTACTCTTACCCTTCAAAACCGGAACACAGTAATGTTGACATTACTGCTTGGCGGCAGAAATAGGTAAGGTGGCAGAACTTCCCTGGACGAACTCTTTCACAAGGACCTCTATTGCTACTAAAAAGAAAAAAAGAAAAAGGAGCTGTGCAAAAAAGTTTGATTTATCAAAAAAAAAAAAAAAATTTAAAGTTAAATTTTCAATTTGTAGCATTAAAAGTAAAATGTAGTACTAATTTTTTAGAATTTTATTTACGAAAATACTTTTTACTAATATTATGTTAATTATAATATAATTTGACCTGAGACCATATTCGGAAACGCAAGCAAATGCGCTCCTGGCACTCGCCGGCCGCTGCCGCAACACGCTCACTTCGCTCGCTCACGCTCGGCTCGTGCTGTTTTTTCTTAAACTAACCTAACCTGTTAAATACTGAATGGAGGGCGCAACCTTCACTTGTAATTTATCCATAGATCAACTAAAATAGACGGAACAATTAATATATGTATACGTAAAAAATATCGTTTCTTTAAAAAAAAATGCATACTGCAATAGATTAATCATGTCTTTGAGGACCAAATAACATGATCCGATTGATGACTTTGTGAAACGTCGCTTTCGAATTTATATTTATTTATTAACACGCGAGTTCAGAATGTCGTACCTGACTTTTCATTTTATTTAAAGTATAATTCACGCCAGTGGTCAAGGTTCGTTACGTAAAGTTCCCACGCGAAGCTCGAACGCTACATAAAGTTTCATGGAAAGCTCGCGACTCGCGGCTGAAAGCACGCGACACTTCCGCCTGATAAGGTTCAGTTTTAGCGTTTTCAGGTCACGTGAAATTAATGCTAACCTAGGTTGGTATAATAGTGATTACATACATGTACATGATACAGGGTTATTTTTAAAATACTACCACCCTCACTGGACTATGTTACTAACATCATTAACAACAACTTTTGTTCCATTACTTATTAGCGGAGATAACTCAGTGCAAATGGAGGACGGGGCTGGGAGTTGTCCGAGAGGACGCTTATACGTTTGTACGCACTACCTTTCTACCAAATACAAATCAAAAAAGTGTCACATACGACTAGGACAAAAAAACTTAAAAGTTTATTTTTGATGAATTTATTATGTAGGAAATGAAGCTGGAGAAATAGCATTAAAACAAATTAATAAAATTGAACAAAATCAACAAAAAATCCTTGAACAAAAGCTTTATTCAAAATAATAAAACATTGAAACTATTTTTCCGGATTTGAATGGCGTATATTTGTTTTTCAAACAAATCAACGTTTCGGGCCCTTTACGGGTCCCATGGTCACGGTTGACTGGGCCCTTTAAAGGGCCCGAAACGTTGGTCTGGTTGAAACAACAAATATACGAGATTTAAATTCGGAAAAATAGTTTCATTTCCTAAGTGTAACAATCGCGAAAACCTAAGAACTATTTATTGTTTTTTCAAAAGCCGTGGAATAAAAGTGATTCTTTTTCGTTGGAAAGAGAGTACCTCAGTAGTGATCCCATTTAAATTTCAAGAAAATATTCCACCTCTAAGGGCGTGTGTATACGCTAAGAAAAGTCGGGTCTATGCAGGAATTCGTGCCGTTTCTACACACGAACTGTGTACACAGCCTCGGCGCCGGACAAGAAAAAAATCTTGTCTACCCCCAACGCAACGCGCTCTGCCGCGAGATTTATAAAGTTAAACGACGTACTTTTGAGGCATGGAGTGAAATTCATATAATTTGCAATCACCATTTTTTTTTTATTAGTAGTCAACATATATCTTCACGCAGTCGGTAGTAAAACGACAGCTACCTGGAAGTGCACTGACACGTTTACCCTACACACGTCTGCCCGAAGGCATTCGTATCGTGTACATACTCATCATTTTCGTGTCTGCAACAGACACGAAAATGTCTTGCGTCTTTTCTGTTGCAGATACGACGAATTTCTTAGCGTGTACACGCGCCGTAAGGGTGGTAAAGTAGGAGATGAATGACTTTTGGGGTTGGTTTTTTTAGTACTCTGTGCTGAGATTATTTGATACAATCATTAAGTACATTTTTAAAACCAAGAAGCGAACATTGAATTTCACAAAAAAAGCATTTTGTCAAATTATTCCTTGAGATACTGTAGTTAAATATAAATCTTTTAACTGAAGTGAATTTGATACTTCATTAAATACAACTAAATTTTTTTTTTATAAATTAAAACCGGGAAATGGGTGTGCTCAGGGGCAGGCTTATGTCCAACAGTGGACGTATATGTGATGTTATGCATGATGATGAACTTAACTTACTACCTGAATGTGTGTAACATTTCCAACAAAATTGAAAATCTGTTCGACACCAATCGAACCTCCATCCTGTAACTTCTATCTTTACGACATTTTCCATCTCAATTTTACGTCTGCTATACCGTAGACACAAATGGCAAAACTTTATGTCAGACACGTCTACCTTAAATGCGTATTTTCGTGTACCACGGTAATATCTCAAAAATAATTTGATAGGCCCTATACACTTTTCATATTTCTATCCCTTCATATTAGCTTTATTCATAAGGTTTCAAAAGATTGGGAATTGCGGATGGCGAGCTTCGTTACACTGTTGACTAAATATGCTATGAACGTGGTCGGGCCTCGGCACCTATTCTTTTTTCTCCGTTTTTAACTAACAAGAATCTTATATGTTAGTGAGTCATATTTTAACAAAATAAAAAACGAAATAAAAAAATCTGAATAAAAAACCGGATCAAAATAAGATTCGGCAAATCGTCATAACGCTTTCCTGCAGCAAATGATTTCTCACAAACATATGTTAACAGCAAAAAAGATCGAATTACAGAGATAAGGTGACATTCTCATTGTGAAATTCCCTTCTACGACGAGACGACGACAAATTGAATTCCAGCTAAACAAGTCGTTAGAATTACTGCACCCCCGGAAACAGCCTCGTTGAATACGCTACATCGCTAACATTCTTGAAAGTGCAAATTGAAAAAAATCTACAAAATTTATTTCGTGACCTTATTGTCTGAGCCTTAGACGTTTGTTATGTATGTTTTTTTCAACGTTTACTAACATTGTTTTCTTTGTGCTGTGTTCAAAAGGACTCTGAATCGTCTTTGGAATACTTTGCTGTTCGCACGACCGACCGCTCGGGACAGAGGAACCTTCCAACCAACAGAAACAAAGATCGACTCAAAATCCTTTTGAAACCACTCTCTCGAATATTCCGCGCTTGCGCGTTCGCGAGGAAATGATACTAATTATCATTTCTGTTTGTTGTCAGGTTCCGAAGTCCCACTCGAGGATCGCGTCGGGGGACAGGCCAATGATCGCTAAACGAGACGCGCACGCGCACGATACACACACGGGGCGCCCCATAGAACATGATCACAGCGTCGCGCGACAGTTAAAACTATACCGAAAAGAATAAGGACGAAATCAAGATGGCCGAAGGACCGCAGACGATTTGGCAAAAGATCGATAGCGCCATGATACCCATGGTAAATCTGGAGGTGCGAGAAGTCCGTGAGATTCTCTGGGAAAAGATCCAGGAACCAACCTCCCAGCGCAAAATCATCTTAGTGATTGTATCGATAGCGCTGTTGCTTGACAATATGCTGTACATGGTGATTGTGCCGATTATCCCCGACTATCTACGGTATATCGGTGCGTGGGGCGAAGCGGCGTACGATCACGTAGTGACTCTGCCTCCTATTAAGGAAGGTAATAGGACCATCATTCCGACCAAGATTATCCCCGCGACTCACGAAGGACAAGATTCCGCGACGGGAGTCCTGTTCGCATCGAAAGCCATCGTCCAGCTCATGATCAACCCTTTCTCCGGTGCCTTAATCGACCGAATTGGGTACGACATACCCATGATGATCGGACTTATCATTATGTTCCTTTCTACCTCCATTTTCGCTTGCGGTCGAAGCTACAGCATGCTATTCTTCGCCAGAAGTTTACAAGGCGTAGGGTCTGCGTTCGCGGATACTGCAGGCCTTGCAATGATAGCCGATAGATTTACAGAAGAGAACGAGCGGTCGAAAGCTTTGGGTATTGCATTGGCGTTTATCAGTTTCGGATGTCTAGTCGCACCACCCTTCGGAGGCGCGTTGTATCAATTCGCTGGCAAGGAAGTACCGTTTTTGATACTCGCATTGATATCTCTCTTAGACGGCTTTATGTTGCTACTCGTGATGAAGCCTTTGAAAGTACAAATGCTAGAAGCTAATCAACCGAAACCAGCGGGAACGCCCATTTGGAAACTTTTGATTGATCCCTACATTGCTGTTTGTGCTGGAGCTCTGATGATGTCTAACGTTGCATTGGCTTTCATCGAACCTACCATATCCTTGTGGATGGAAGACAATCTGACTAAAGATAATTGGAAAATTGGTATGATTTGGTTGCCCGCGTTTTTTCCTCACGTATTGGGGGTCATAATAACTGTAAAGATGGCGAAACAGTACCCACATATGCAGTGGGCGATGGCTGCAGGAGGTCTGGCGTTAGAAGGGCTTTGTTGTTTCATCATACCGTTCGCAAGTTCGTACAAAATGTTGATGATACCCATCTGTGGCATTTGCTTTGGCATAGCCCTTATCGACACCGCTCTACTGCCAACACTTGGTTACCTAGTGGATGTGCGGTACGTCTCTGTGTACGGAAGCATCTATGCGATTGCAGATATATCCTATTCGTTTGCATACGCCGTGGGACCCATTATCGCTGGTGAAGTAGTCGAAGCCATTGGCTTCACTGCGCTCAACTTTCTAATCGCCTTTGCAAATCTTCTCTACGCTCCTGTGCTCCTAAAACTGAAACACATTTATGATTTTAAACCATTCGAGAATGAAGCCAACATCTTGATGGCGGATCCTCCGGATAAAGAGTATCAGACGTACAGTATGCAAGATCAGAGACCCGTGAACGGAGAATACAAGAACCATTTGGAGTATTCGAACGTGTCCGGTGTGCAGGAGACGAGTGTAGATTCTGGTGCTTACTCCTATGATCAGTCGTATCAGGGTGGGTACCAGGGTTCTAATGAAGGATACGATCAGCAGCAGGGGTACCAACAAGAATACCAGCAACAAGGCCAAGGGTACAGCCAACCGCGGCAGCTACCGGCGCAGCCGCAGCCTACGGTGAGCAATCCGTTCCGAGCGGCGCAGGCTGCGTCCGCGCCCGCGCCGGCTCCGGCCCCCGCACCCGCTCCCGGGCCCGCCATCAAGAATCCCTTCAGGCAAGGCTTCTAGAGCCCTCCCAATTCAGTGTTGTTGTCTTTTTGAATTTACTTGTTGTGTAATTATAAATGTCTTATACTTGGTACTTCGATCACTGAGCCACGCCTCATCGGCGGGTTGTTTAGTGTTTGACTAAATGTCTATTATAGCTGTGCTTGTAATATAATATTGTAGAACTTTGGACACTGATTTCAGGGTGGCGTCTCTCGGACAGATATAAGTGCAATCAGTTTTGTAACGGCTGTATCAGAAAGCTATAATCTTTTCATATCGAAAGAAAGACGAAAGAATAAAACTAGTTTCGCCTTCAGAGTGGCACCCTGAAACCAGAGGTCCCTTTCTTGTTGACTCGTATCATTCGAATGTATTTAACAAATGTTGATTATGCCTTCTCATAGTATATAGAACCGTAATCTGTTCTCATATAAGAACCAATATCGTTTAAGAGAACAAACAAGTGTGGTGGAGTTACAATCACCAAATTTAAAAATAGAAATTATTTAAAGGTACACTATGTATCTGTTAATACAATAGTCAGAATTGTTGTTGTAATACATTTTTTCATTAATACGTTTTCGTAGGCAGCTAAACGTAATATGTCCTAAGATATAAATATTTTTATCAATACAAAAATCTTTTCAAACCTACCTACGTGGCATTTCGCACCGATCAGTAGGTCACCACGGAAGCACTAAAATCCTAAAAGGGCCTAAGATGTTACATTTATTAACCAATCGTTAGGCGCTTACACTTTTATTAAAAAGTTTAATAATATAGTCGTAACAGATATAATTTAAAAGTGTTACGATTCGACGTGGTTTAGGCTTTTTATTTTTGTATGACGGGTTATGCTTTGGTCTATGAGTACGTTTTAGTACCACACTTACAATAATTTTTGTACGGGCAAAACGCTCCATACATATGAATTAAATTCCATATATTACACAGTGTGCGTAGTTGAAGCGTGCTAATAAATATAGCACAACCCCAAGTAAGGGGGTCACCATATTTATCGACTTGGAATCGATCAGAAAAGACTTTGTGCCTGTGCAACAACAGCTTATCGTCGGTGATCCGAGTGGGAGTGTCACATCTTTAATTTTTTTGTAACGAGTTCATGCAGATTCTATGTCGACAAATACGGTGATGCCCTAAGGAGTCAAGGCACAAATTCAAATATATCGCTCTGAAAATGGCCTTCAAAATGTGAATATTGTTGACCTACCTTAATGTTGTGTTTCAGGGTATCAGACCTGTTTTAGAAGCTATGTAATTGTAATGAGGTATAAATGTCATCATGTAAGTTTTCCTTCCTACGCTCTCAGCAATATTAGTCTAAGATATAGTATCATCAAAATATCAATTAATTTATCAATTAGGTAAGTCCAACTTGTGATAAAGTTGCAACCAAGTAACGAAACATATCAGAATCTTTTGATTCACCTAGCGTAAGAATGTTGTTTAAGGTTCTCTAGTTGACTGTACAGTAATTCGTAGGTAGATTTGTGTCCTTTTCGAATATTTATTGTAATAGATTATTGTAAATCTTTTAGCAGTTATGTGCCGTCAGATTTCGACACAGTGTGGTCACTCGGTGCGACAACATCGTGCAATACGACCATAGCCAAGTAAATATTTACTTCATTACCTGCCTCTTTCAATATGTTAAACAATGTTTTCAACCGTACCCAACACGCACGTGTAGTGCGTGATGTTTAAAAAGTTATATTATATTTTGAGTTTACATTAAAAACCAATGTAATAATAATAACATATTAACGTTGTTTGTTTATCAAACCTTAATGAAAATGGAAGTAAATTACTGTTTAATTAAAATATAAAATGATATTTTTATTCATTTACTTACATTAATGAATTCATTCTTCGGCCGAGCGTCGAACAGGCAACAACCCCTGAGGATGCCTCGTAGAGAGGCGAAACACGTGTCGGGTATATTTTTGAGAGATGGTATTTGAGACTGTAGTTACGGATTTATTTTATTAATTTTATGCGGTGGGGGAGGGAATTTGACGACATGAAAGAAAAAATCAACACAAGGACAGCTATTTTGCACGATTTAACTTTCCTGGGTTCGTGGAATAGCAAATTAATTTACTCCTATTTTGATTAACATGGATTAATGCAAAGGAACGATTCTATTAATTATTTCACTTAATTTGGCTCGAGTAAATTCGTTCCATAGTCGTATTAGCCTATAAGTCGATTGGTGAGTTGCTAGTTTTTGATGAAATAAAAACAGTGTTGCCTTGAAGTATCGACTTCACTGAATCATTCAGTGTACCATCGTGGTGAATTAAGCCGTCTTAATAATTTGCAAGTATTAATATAAAAGACAGAATTTGATAATAGCAAAATGATAGATATAAGTAGAGAATTTTAAACTCTTTTTTCTCTTTCATATCATAAAGTCTTTAGTGTTTGTTTTTGTTCATGTTTTAGAACTTGATAGACAGGGCAACATTTTTGCACAAATTGCCATTAGTAGGTGTAATTTTGTTATTTCTATTTAAAAAACCGACACTCGCAAAACAATGGCGCTTAGTAACAAAGGGTACGCCTACGCTAAAGTATTAAAAGTGGTTGAAAAGAAAGAGTGTATATTTTAGTCTATACATTTCTAGCCGTCTCAAGTTGAAAGATACAAACCTCACGCCCGAATGACCACACGTAGTAAACTTATTTTGCAGTACGTCAGAGTCAAAATTAAATGATATAAAATAAATTGTACAGGAAAATGAGAAACGAGCCCAACATGTCAATTGCGAGTGTATAAAGTAAACGTGAATAATGTGAATATATTCGTTATATTGTTGTAAACAATGCTAAGGTTCGTTCTGTTGCTTTAAGAGCTCACTAATAGTGAAATTATTGGACTGAACAACATTGGACTGTATATGCACCTCAAGGGTGGATTTAGAATTTAGAAAAGAACGGCAAGTATTAAAACGTCCTAAAACACAGCACTATCTTAATTAATACAGAAGTGTGAAGTCGATCGGTTTTATTGCAAGACAATCGGGTCAATTCTAGTCAATTCGAGTCTAATGAATTCACTAATAGAATATTAATAGGAACATGTTTTTGAAAGTCAAACGTTGAGTTTGAAATTTTGAATTTTTAGCCTGCAAAGTACAATAGTTATTGTAGAAATACCTCTGCACAAGATTAAGTTCAAACAAATTGCACAAATCACATATCGTTGTAAGCATTCGTTAGCTTACATTTTGTAAAGTGTGTATGATATTGCAATGTGCGATTCAAAACTTGCAGTTCCCTATTTGTAATATGTTAGAGAGCTAGATGTTTATTCGGGAGGCGATCAAAGTACCTCTCGATTATCGTAATGTAAGTTTAGAGTCAATTTTCGTGTCAAATTCTCCCGAAATTCAATTAATTAGTAGAAGTCAGCACAAAGTTGTAATTATTAACTATAGGTAGCGTGTGCTCGAAGTGTTTTGGCGAAATTATAAATATCAAATAAACAATATCGTTGTTAATTACAAAAACGAATTTACTTTATTGGACATAAAAACATTAATAATGAAACGAACGTGTGAAAAAAGGACGATAGAGTAATTGCAGCTCGCAAATATTCTGCCAGATAATACCTACGTTCTAACGAAAATTGTAAGAAACAAGTACGTATTTTTTATATTATCGTGTATAATTCGCATTATTTGTTGAGACTAACTATCAATCTGCATAATAATACAATTAAACGTTTAAAAAAACGTAAATACTTATTGGTATTTAAAATTTTCCAAAACACGCGACCAAAATATCATAGCAATGTGTTATGTTGTGCATAGTAGACATATTCAACTTGTGTGAGCAATTATACATATTTTTATAGAAAACTATGTACTATATACTATAGCAATAAATAGCCGACCGATATCACATACATATCATTAGGTTTAAGGATATACAATTATATTATATGCTAGTTTTATATATATCTATATATTTTACAGTATGATGGTGAGTGAATGTGTCAGGTGAATTGTGAATCAATTTATTAAAATTTAAACTTTTATATACAATTTCATGAAAAAGTACCTAATCGACAGAACCTTGAATGTATAAGGGTCGGCTCACATACCATTCTAGTTCTATTTGTATAGTTCACCAAAAGCTTTGGTCCATGCAAGAAGAGAGGAAAAGACGTGCGTTTCGCGGTGGCGCCTGTTTTTTCGCTATTAACGCATGGATATAAAACTTTGATCGGCTCAAGCCAATTCGACTTACGACTATTGCGTCAGCATGTGAACACATACAGCTACTTACGAATAAAATTCGTGTAGTTCTAACCGCAAGTTGTGAAAATGCACAAAACGCAAACGCTTGTCATCTGAACCAGCCCTTATTGACATTATGTTCTATAAAAAAACTTTGAAAATTGTAGCTAAAGAACTGATTTAAAGTAATCTTGAAAATACACACGATGGACATAATCATTTAGTTGTGACTACCACCTGCGGTATGTAGAACGTTTCAATTGAAATATTTGTATGAAACGTGAGAAATGTAAAGCACAAGTGTGCCTGCCTTATGTCGACGTAGGAATGTATTGCGTACCTATACTTAAAAATGAGTGAAAATATTTTTTTGCAATATTTATCTTTGAGAAAATGGATTTAGTGTTCTTGATTGAAATCGATAAACATATCAAAGAAAATTCATTCAGGTATTGGAAAAAGTACGAGTAGTATTTTGCGGGTATAATAATAAGGTATAATAGAAATTACCTAGTTAATTACCTATCCAGTAATAAAAACGATCTGCGAGCTGGACCCAGAAAGTTCCCAATATGACAGTTCTTCAGCGCGTTGGGAGGGACCGAGAACTCTTGCAAACCGTCAAGTAAAGGAAAGATCTTATCTTGGACACGTTCTACGGCATGAAAAGTTCCGACTTCTCCAACTGATAATGATGGGCAAGATCGAGGGTAAACGACGTACTTGAAGAAGGAAGAAGTCGTGGTTGCGCAACATCCGGGAATGGATCGATATTGCCAGCGTAGAACATGCGTTTCGCTTGGCTCAGGACAGGGAAGAGTTCTGAAAGCTGATGGCCAGCCTCCAGAAGTGGAGAGGCATTACATGATGATGATAATAAAACGATGGCAAAAATATTTCACCAGCCTTTTTCAATTTCTATTCCACTTAAAAACCTAAAGGCTAACTTGAAAGAAAAATTAATTGCGAAATTACTTTCGTACTTTTTTAATACTGTATATTGTGAATTTTAGTAATATTTGTATGGGTAATGCATGTGATGAGGATCAATGTATTTTAATTTTTCATATTTTCCGTAAAATTTGTATTACGGTGTTTGACAATGAATGCATGCAGTGATTCTGTTGTTATTAGGAGCAATTGTAATCGTGAGTGCTTATGGTTTTTCTATGTATACTTCTACCTTGTGTAATCCTCGTATGTACGTCTCCCTTTGTATCTTATCCCTTTATATCTTATATAACATTTTACCTAACCTTATATCCTAAACCATGCTTTTATCTGGTAATGAGTAAACCTATAAATATCATACATTATACTCGCGTAATGAAATAAATACTACGGCATTTTGAAGGGTTAATACATTTCTAGGTAAAACGTAATTTACCGAGATGAATCTGGATTAAGTAACTAAAGACTGCCGGGATACTTAAAGGTTAGACATTTCGTCGTCCTTGGACAGGTGTAAAAAAGACACGAGTGTAATTGCGAGAGTTGTCTCTACACGCAATACTGAATAACTTTCCCTAGGGAATATTTCTTCGAGTTGTCGGATTGATTACCGGATATGAGGCTTTTTGTTCTTTACGCCGTCCACAACGATTTTCTCTTATCTTTTCTTATTCTTCTCGTTGCAGGACGACTCACGTTTTAGTAACCACTTCTTGGTTACTTTTCCGTTGTGCTTTGGCTCTACCTGTCATCACCAAGCAGTAACTCCACCCCAACTCCAATTTAACGTCATAATCTGATCTTCTGTTTTGAACCTTTGGTCGGTTTTTGTTATTCAAAACTCGATTCATGAGTTTGATGCTTAGCATGACTCTCTGTACAACTCTCATTCTGTACACAGTCTTCTGTATCTGGGGCGTCCATGTCTCTGACACAACACATTGATTGAATAAGCGGGATGTCAGATTTAGAAAGGTGAGAAATATTTTGGGTTTTATATGGAAAAATGCTCCGGGATTTGTGGTCACCCTATGAATTTCCACTCGTAGGTACTTTTTACATCCTGTAGGAAATTAGCGTTACATCATCGGTGCTTACTTAAACTGATCTAAATTATTTAATAAACAGTTTTTCTAATATTCTCCTTAGATCCCGTAGTTTATCTTTCTATCCTTGACTTTAAATTATGGACTTCTAAGTGTTTCCCTATACTAGCCCTTTCTCTTTTCTATGCTATAAAATCTTATACTAGAGGTATAATGGTCTATATTGTGTATGAATGATATAATTCCTCGTTGTCTATTGTCTATTATATGAATAGCGTGGCTGTAAACGTGCAGGCATGGTAATGGAGGCGATACAGCGCGATTATGAGAGCGATGTCGTTGTTTATGTTTTCAGAATAAGTCCTTCACAACGATGAAAGAGAAAACGATATAAGTCAAATTAAAACGTTTACGTTAGTAAATTTGTGACTCATTTATAGCCGCTAGTGTTGTTTAAATGCGTCTAATTCCACAATAACGTCACGGGCATGACTTGGTGACTTCCAAAAATATAATTAGTACTTTTAAGATGGTCAATTATGCATAATCTCCAAATTTAAACATCCAAAGCATCACGACGTTCGAAGTATCTAAAGGAACAGATTATCAAAGGTGCCGAGCGATATGCAAGCGTATGTTCTTCGCCTCAAGGTTTACAGTCCTACTAATTCACTTAGATCAGTACCCGTCCTTTAGTCTATTATAGCTGTACTTGCTCTATTAATACAGAATCAAATCGCTTCACTTTTGAAATCATATGTTATTCTTAAGATTCGTCATCATTATTCGCTATTGTCTTTCTTCTTCCGTGCAATTATAGAACTTGACAGATTTGTAATATCTTTATTCTATAACAATAAAAATATATATATTTTTCAAAAAAGCAAATATTAGAAAAATATATATCTTCATCTATATTTGCCAGCACCATTTATGTATTATGGAGTTAATATTGCATTCGCCGTTTTTTCTTGTATTTGAGTAACCATTACGATTTATAATTCACAAAATCATTTTAAAATAAATTACTTAAATATAGCACTAGGCTGTACACAATTTTAGTCTAAATTACTAACATTATAATCTCCAAAAAGTCGCTATTAAATTTCATAAATGTAATATAAGCATTTAGAATTACGAATCGAATACTAAAGATTTTATTCATAATTTCTAGATGCTGGCATAATTTTCAAGTATAAAATGTATAATTAAAATAATTTAAATTAAAATATTACCGATGCATTAATTCTGAATTAGACTAACTATGGTCGTATATAAAATAATTTTTAAGTACATTTAAGCCGTGCGCATATATCTGTACATATAGCGACCGATGCCCACACAAAATATGAGTGATAGATATGAGATGTAGCAACCAGCACTTCTATAGAATCTTTCCGCTTTCCTAATCTAGTAGAAGATTTTTTCGTAGATCCTCCGCAAAAAGGAAATATATACACCATAGATAAGGAAATAATCGGTCATTGCAAAATAATATGAAGAAGCATATTATTTGAAAAGATTAATTGTTTATGTTACAGTAATTCATTTCTTAAATTTAGGTTCAAAATATGTTCGTTTGTTTTGTGAGTGTGTATGTTTGCCTTTTTTGCTATCTGAATATTAAATTCAGAATCCCTTACATCTTATCCCTAATCTTTAGCTGTAGACATCTTTTTCGGCAGGCATTTTTCATCTTGGTGTACCTATACTACAACTTTAAACGTAAGAATTCATATTATATTTAATAATAATAATAATAATATAGTAAATTATATTGCTTCATTCGTACTGTGTAATGTTTTATCGCAATTTCTAATATTATAATACCTCATCTGACTAAAAAATGTAAAATATTAAAATATTTACAATAAAAGTAGGTAATTGTTATTTAGGCTTCAACAGTAGCTGTAATTATAATCATTAGACATTAAAAACATAGTTAAATTAGTATTTACGTGAGAAAACGTGTTTTCACCTATGTAGGTTTCTAAATAAAATGCAGAAAAACATAATAATATCACACTTTAAGCAAATAGAATGCACTACAATTTAAAATAACAAAAAGGCAACAAACAATAGAGCTTAACAAGTAGGTGAAAACGTGTTGAAAATATAAATGTAATATTAGTTAATGTAATTCCTAGAATACAAGTATAATTCCTATAATCACAAATGATTAGTAACTCATTATACATAATCATGCATAGACAAATCATATATCTTTTAGAACTAATAATACATAATGTATCTAAAACACGTAGAAGTAATTAATGTTAATGTACGTTTTTGTTTTAAAAATTTAACTCGTTCCGTTATAGTGATTTGAATAGCTATTTGTAATATAGTTGATTTCTAGTATAAAGTCACTTGAAAAATGTCCTGAGGAATCACTATACCTTAAAAAAACATTGTGTTTGTATCTCTAGTTTTTGGTTTTTACTTATTGTAGAACAGAGAAATTTATTAGTATTTCATAATATTAAGTTCAAATTAGTGAACAATGTTTTAACAGTCATTTGCTTCCAAAAGAGTACTGAGTAAATTCTAGATTTCTCAGGGCAATTTTTGAGTATCGCTATGTACTTAGTAAGCATAACGAAATAATCAGATTATTAACTTATACTATAACCAATATATTCTATC